GAACGTACCACCAAACCTCCAGCTTCAGATGTAGCAAACTCAGGCTTGAAGTTCGACACCTCAAGCCTGGAACATGTACCTAACCCACAACCCCGAACCTAGCATGTCTTGTACGCGTCAAGCCTTGTGCTGCAAGTGACCCTTTTAAAACTTGAACCTAAAGCAACCAAACTTCAGCTTGCTTAACTTGAAGTCTTAAGCCTTACGCAGAACCCGTTGCTGTAGCTTCGAACGTGAATCTCTAAATCCGGGATCGAGCGCTGAAACCCCAAACTGTCAAGCCCAAACCGTTCTGACTGCTTCTCTTACTCTCAAGATGACTTCCGTGACGATCGGGGTTCCGTTGGTGATGGTGATGGCGATGGGCTCTCTTATTCGGTACCACGGAATATAGGGGTCGGAAGAACCAGGAATGATGGTTCCCTTGTAAGTTCATCCTCTTCGAAGTATTCAAGGCCTCACTCAGAAAAGCGCAAAGGAAAGAGGGCCATAGAGGGCCCCGGCAGCCAACTCTTTGAGGCGCCCGAGGCGGGAGGCGACAGCACCTTTCAGAGGTTCTAGGAATATGTGAGCTTCCTTGTCTGGGAGGATCCGGCGGTTGTCTCTTCCGGACTGCTGTGACCGGGTGAGAGGTCGGAGACTTCGGGATTGGAGTCACGTAGGGGGCGTGGAAGGGAGAACGACGTCTTGAAAAGGTAAATGCCCATTTTCGGCTTAGGGTCTCTGTCCTTCCGCCATGAATGCTATATCGATACAGCTATATTCATCCTTCATGCGACGGTCCACTATCCCTTTCCGACGGCCTCCTCGTCGGCATCATCGTGGGCCTCGAAAACCCATTCGACTGGCCTGGGTATACAGACTTGCCCTTGGCAGCAGAGCTTTCGACAGCCAGCAGCACGGCGTGGGAGCTAGGAGTTGATGTTATCTGCTATCACCATGGGCAGAACTGGCAGAACCAAGAATGTCTCCAAATGCTTGAACACACTTTGAAAAAACCTCCTCCGATCTGTCGTCCTCGAAAGTGGAATGCAGACAAATCGCAAGCATCCAGGTGTGACACATCAGCGGTTGGGTCATGAACCCTCAACGCTGCAGCACAACCTGAACTCCCTCTAGCCTCTGGTAGGCATCCGGCACTTCGTCTGCGGGGGCATCCCGCAAATCGTCCGAATACATCCTGCAGGCAAGTTCACAGAAGATGCTACCCTGAAACGAAAGTATAGAATGAACACTGAATGAACGCCACAGACTTTGCATTTCACAGCGGATTATGCCACAAGAGGGAACAGTGATGAAGACCCGCACCGTCAGTTCTCTAAAGCGTGATGCGCTAGTGTCAGAAAGATTCACCCTCTGTGCTGTCGAATGCTGTCGCAAATTCGCTTCGAATTTATTTTTTTGCACCGTTCTTAGATTGATGCCAGCCCGGCTGGCATTTCCATGCAAGTCCCCAGCTTCCTTGCTTTCGATGTCACGCAAGAGTTTCAGCATGCTCGAGCAAGGTCCCGGAGCCTCGTCTCGGTGCCGTCGCCACTTAGCCGTTGCCGAGCCGGAAGGGGCTGACGCCCCTGCAGCGATGAGGAATCGCCGGTGTCAGTTGTTGGCTGGATTCCTCGGCCTGCCTCAGCCTTCGTAAAACCAATTCTTAACCGTTCAGCCACCCCAACTCCGAAGCTCAGCATGTGAAAGCTGCCGGAGGGCAGCTTGAGGTTCGGGATCTGGGAGCTGCCTGCCTCGTCTCGGCCCGTGGCAAGGAAAACTACCCCTTTCGGGTTCTTGAGCCAATCACGTGGTGCATGAAAACCGCGAAATCGACCCCTGAACAGGGGATGGCAGAGTAGTTGAAGCATAACTTGCCAAAGCTGTTGTCAGCACTGTTGCCGTGTGTGCATTGAAATCATGTCTGTCGTGCTGCTGCTATGCTTACTATCACAGTTGCCGACCAGAAGCATCATTACGCTGTTGCAATCCATCTCCCTAAGTTATATCCGATCCCAAGTATGCAGTACAGGTTTGTGGATGGTAAGCATCTGTGCTTGTAGTTGCATAATGCATGAAAGATAGCGATGCATCTACATTGCTACATATATATATGTATATATATATATATATCTATCTATCTACAAATGTACAAACGCATGCAGTTACGCGACTGCTTGTCTACATGTGTGCTCATGCCTTTGTACTCGCTTGATTCCAAAGCAGAGTGTAGAGCAATTGGTATAACTTTCTGGTTGAATCAGGAAGATCTACCCATTAGATAGGTGATTTTAGTGATTAAGGCTTAAGCCCTTGACTGCTGCCAATAGATACGTAAGGTTGATAGGCTGTGTAAAACCGTTAGGTGCGAAGGTCGTTACGACACGATATCAGTCTATCTGGCTTGACAGAGTGGAGCCACTGGACGTTCTTGACAAACGAGCAGGTCAGAACCCATGCACGCCATGCAGGCTAGCACTTCGCCTTTTTGTGTTTTGGACTCTCGCCACGGTATCAATCCTCCAGTAAGGGCCTGGAGTGCGATGGAGTTGGTCTCGGACCTCAGGACCACAGGCGTGCCAGGGTCCAAGCGTGCTGAACCTTTTCGAACCTTTGGCCAACTTGCACCAATGTATATGTGTGGGATGGTACTTGAGCCACGCCTCATCGGTTACATGGATAAAGTGCATGTACCAGGGAACTCACCGACATTGTTGACGACGATCCGTATTCACACCATCTCGGCTCTTGCAGTTGGGCCAGGAAGATCTGCATTCAGCCATCCCCGCTGCAGAGCAAAATCAACAGTCGTACGGGTGCTTAGTACCGTGGCCAAACTTACAGTTATAGCACTACTCGTAGGTGTATCGTAGCACATATCGCAATGTGCACGACCGCGAGCCTAGGGATGTAAATGAACATGATAACGGCAATAATGGTGGCGACGGTGATGCAGAAGAAGTTGATGATGATGGGTAGAGAAAACACTGAAGCTACTGATGACGACGATGACGAATGTGATGATGATGATACTGAAGGTGACGAGATGATGCTGACGGCGGCTGGGGGTGGTGGCACAAAGTGGCAAGATGACGACAATGATGGTTGTGGTCGTGGCCTCGGTGATGGTCACCATCGGAACAACAACAAGAAGAACAAGAAGAAGCAACAACAGCAGCAGCAACGACATCAAGAAGAAAAAACAGGAAGAAAAACAGGAACAATAACAAGAAGAACAACAACAGCAACAGTACCGGAAGCAGCAGCAGCAGCAACAACAACAACAACAGCAGCGACAGCAAGAGCAACAGAAACAGCAGCAACAGCGACAAAGTCAACATTTTAGCCGGCAGTGTCATGTCATCGTCACTGCTGTAGCATGACGAGCGGCGCTGAAGCAACTTCTGCACACAGTCCCACAAACATAGCCAAATAGACCTGGAAGCGCTCTTTCAGTCTTTGGGATGTGGGGCTTGTGAGGCTTCCGCTGCACTTGCAGTGTCGTACATAAGCAACAAAGCTTTCAAAGTGGGTCCTGTGCAGATTGAACTTATTGGGCTTTGGGCCATTGGGGGCTCCGTGTCATCAGAGTTAAGGGCTTAAAGCTTAGTCTTTCGAAGCCCGCAGCAACTTACCGGCCCCATGCGCAACACATTGCGTCAAGCCACAAGACTGCCTGCTCATTTCTTGGACAATGCTTCCTTGTATCGAAAAGATCCAATCTCAATCATGTTCTAAGGTTCTAAGGAATTTCGGAATATACACCCTGAGACTACACCCCGGGAAAATCGCAGTGAACACGACATGGCAAGCCTTTTTTGTGCGGGCTCCGGGCTCCTCGGGGTTGCTTCTCAGAAGCAAAAGAAGGCTTTTGAATCAGGTTTCTCAGTGGTGCCCCTGGGCTGCTTCTCAGAAGCAGACAGGCTTTTGAAACGGACCCCACCCACCCCACCCACCTCATTGCCAGGGGATGTAGCACAAAAGTGGCGTACTTTACCACACTTTTGTGCTACACCCTGCCCCCACCCACTCCCCGCACCTCGCCGCACACCTCCCCGCGCACCTCCCCCGTGCACCTCCCCCGCTGCATTCTACATACATGCCTGCATTTCTCAAGCCGTGGAGGCGGGAATCTGAGATCCTGCATTTTCGAGCCCAAACCTCTCGGTTGCAGCTGCACAGGCAAACCACGTCAATCGAATCAGAGCAGCTGCATCAGCCTTAAGTTCACAAGTGTTATAAGAGGGTTATATAAGTATTCCATAAGGGTTATATACAAAGGATTGGACGGTGTAGCTCTGGGGTGTCGTTCTGAGTGCCTTAGACAGATGGTAAGAGCCCTTTCTTGCTAATTGTAATCATTGACGTTGCAGCTGTCATGTCGGATAACAAAACACCCGACCCGCCTGAGCAGTCCAGCAAACAGCAGGCAGCAGGCGGAGATACCGAACCTCAACGTAAAGACTGATCCCTGAGCCCCTAAACCTTAGGGTCTCAGGGGTTGGCCATCCATTTCACTGCCGAAGTTCTTCTTGCGGCTGCTGCAGCACGACTCATTGACAGGTTCACTGCATCGCGTCCAAACTACAGTTGGGCCGGTCGCGGGAGTCACAAGACGGGCGCGGCCCAAAACATCACGTGAACTGCATCCGTTTCTAAGGGTCCTTACACACCACAGGGGGAAACAAGTGCGCAAGCGGCCTGCTATGCATACGTTCCAGCATAACTTATGAACCTGGATCGGCAAGTGCTGCGATCGCTGCATTCGAGTTTGTGCTCCCGTGCTTCATCTTCGTCTTTCTTGTCGTTATCGTCGGAATGTGGCTTCAGGCTGGCTGAGCTTGGCCCGCCACACAAAGATGATCGGCGGCTTCCCCGGCGAGTCTTTGGCCGAGGATGCCTCAGCAGTAGCTCGATTTGAGGAGACACTCTGACGAATCTTCACAGCATGGTGTTGCAGCAGCAGCACCGACCTTCTCACGAATATCATGCGGCGCATGAGAAGCGCTGGAAAACACCTACTTTTTTTTCTGCCGGAGGTATTCCTGAAGCGTCCTGGCAGCCGCCTCTTCCTCGGCTTGCAACGAAAAGGGGCCCTTGTGCTTGCGCTTGAGCCAAGTCTGCTACCTCGTCGATTCGACCCGACCCCATGTCTAGGACTAGCTTCCCAGGCTTCGATGCGAGATGACCCTGTCGGCGCCACCGCGCTCTGTTCCTCTGCCTCTGCTGAAACTCAGCCACAAGCAGAGACAGAAGCACGGCTTGCAATGGAGTACAGTGCAATCAATACAGTATGATGGGCTCACAGCGCGCCTCTTCGGCCTCAAAGGCGGCCAAGAAGGCGTCCAGAGAGGGGACTTCCCCGGCCTCAGCCAAAGAAGCCTCGGTTCGGGCCAGGGGGCCGCGCTCTGCACTGCTTGCAGGGTTAAGAGCCTTGTAGACCGCCAATCGATGCTCGAACCTCGAACGAATATTTCCAGAAAGACCTGCCCTTTTTCGCAGGCCATCCCTGGTAGTTGCAGAATAAGTGTTCGGTTCGGCTGCGACTAGTACCAGACTCTTGCTAGCTGCGGTTGCTGAACCAGTGTGAAATCTTATCTGTTACATCGCCATCGCTCTGACTGCGATGGTGTGATATAGTGATGACGACGACGAGTTTGATCATGTTGGTGCTCGTGAGGATGATCAGGAAGGTGATGACAAAAAGGATGAGAATCATGATGGTCATGGTGAGAATGAGTCCAATGGCGGCGGTGGAGAAGCGGCCCAGTGGTGGAGAGCGCAAGATGACTGTGACACTATGACTGCTCTTGGTTGACCACAAAGCACCTCCCCCTTCCATTCTGAACCTTTTACTTTTGGCATACCTAATGAGATAGACAAAAGAAAAAGCCGAATGTTCGACGCTCGCGGCAGCACTGTCAGGAGTACTAAAGTTGGTACCATCCTTGATGCAAGTAACATTCTTGGAAACCAGCACATCGTTCTGAAGCCTGCCAGGAAAATGAGCACGAAGAACCCAACCAGAGCCATGGTTTCCGAAGCCCTCGCTCCACACTGTGCACTCCAATGACGAGAAGGAACAAGATGCTTGCTCTGGTGCAGCTGCAGTGTTTGTTGCTCGTTTCACAGCCGGGGGAAACTGTCACAGAACTGCCTGCGTGGTAGGAAGAGCAAGTGTGGGAGTCAGAGACAGAGCAGCAGGAGCAGCAGCAGCAGCAGACCCAGTGTTTAGAAGTGTACCAACGAAAAAGAAAAAGGACTCGCGAGATAATGATGGCAACTATGATGACTTACAACAGATCCTGCTAAAAGCAATGATGCTAAGGTTCACAACTGGCAAGAGCAAGAACGTCAGAATCACTTCAGAGCAACAGTTATACAAACAAGCCAAAGCAGTAGCAGTAGCATGTGTACCGTCAACGATTCATGCACTGCTAACAAGCCGTTTCAGCTGTGTCTGTTGTCTGCAATGAAGATGCAAGTGTGACACAAGGTCATGGCACAGATCAACATAGGAGAACTATCAAGACGATCAAAGCAAGCAAACACCAAAAAAAGTAACAACACACAGCACGAACAACAATGCCAACATGGAAGCACAGCGAACCCGACAGCTGCTTTAGGAACATCAAACGCCGGCAAAGAGCAAAGTCTGCACGGATAGAATGATGACACTGCAAATCTAGGAGTCAATGAAGGTAACACTAATTTATAGAGAGCATTTCCTACAGTTCGGCTTGTTTCGTACATGTACCATTTTGTCTAACTTACTACTGGTACAATGAAATATGGAGATCTTCGTTGTGTTTTTCCCAGAACCTCTCAAGCCCTAAAACTCCCAAACCGGGAAAACCCTCAGACCCTACAGGGTCCAAACCCTTTTTGGGCATGTGAGGGCCTGGAGACCAGGGGTTCCAGGAGTACGGCGAGGCGATGGCCTAGCTTCCGGGAGCCCTCGGCCGTGAAGTGTACGCCGTCCCTCTCCCAGAGACCTCAAGGAAAGGGGTGCGAAAAGGGAGGCTCTTGTTTCTGAGGAGGCGGGCGCTTTAAGTTTAGGGCGTGTAGAGGCTGGGACCACCTCTCAGGGCTGAAAGGAGCCCAGATGCCCTCGGAGCGACTCTTGGGACCATAGGGCAGAAGGGCCACGGTGCTGACGAACAGCTCGGGCTTGACCAATCCCGTTGCAGACTCCTCGCGGATCCAGGCAGCCAGTGATGCGTTGACGGCCCGTTTCTTCACCAACACCTCTGGCCCCAACCTTGCCATGCTCCTGCCTCCAGCATCCGGGATACCCAGTGCAACCGATGGAACACCGGCACGATGGCAGACAGAGTGCAAACCACGCAGAGATGAGAAGATTTCCTGGGCCGATGACTTCGCCAGGTCATTTGTACCCGCCATGAGGAGGACCAGGTCCACTGGTTTCGGGGAGCTTAGAAGTGGCAGCAGCCCAGAGCCCCAACGACTCCCCAAGGTCTCCAGAACAAGGGGCTCTTCTACCACAGCCAGCATCTGCCAGGCGGTGGAGGCACACAGGCCGCAAACTGTCGCCTCGACCGGATATCCTGAGACACACAAATCTCAAAGCACGCAAAGGCACGCATGCTGCTCGATTCAGGCCGTCAGATCGGTACATCGGCACATTGTATTGGTTGCAGTATAGTAGTAGATCATGGCAGAGGACAAATTACTGCGACCTGCCACAAAACGGTGAAGTTCCTCCATGGCTCCCATGGACTGCAGAGAAAGGCAGAGAGCATCCCCAAAAGGCACCATTGAGGGAGCACCGGCAGTCAGAGAGTCTCCGTACAGAAGCAGCCGCAGACCTTCCAGAAAAACAGAAATGAAATGGGAAACAAGCAGAGTCATCTTCCGATATAAGCTTTTTTCACTCTCTTTAAAGAGGTCTCTCCCTTTCTTCCTGCGCTGCCTGCTTTGTGCGTCGTGGGAATGTGCACCAGCGCACTCTGTCTGTCATTGGGAACTTGGCTTAGGACCCGCATTTTTCGAGCGCGCCCAGGCCCATGGCTCCGAACATCTCGGGCTGTGCTGGGCTATGGCGGCTACGCGACATGCGGAAGTCTCGAACCGACGAGGCGATCCGGCAGAGGATGTCCGTGGCCCTTGCGAACCCAGTCAAGTCTTCCTTGAAAAGCTCCTTTCCTTTCTGAGGCGTAAGCCGGCCCATCAGCTTCCACCTCAAAGGGGTTTGGGGCTTCAGCACTAGTGCCACGCTTCAACTGAACCAGGCTAAGCGAACCGGACCGAACCATGGGAACTGACACGTATCATGTCGCGTGAGATGAGCAAGCGCAAGAGTAGAATCGAGCAAGAGTAGAATCGAAGACCACTCCACCCAGCCTCTACTCTGGGAAATATGGAGACATTCCCACGAGGATCATGGACCACCACAGCTTGCCTGTGCGACACATTCTGCTGGGTGCGGCACAAGAAGCAGTCAAGCAGACCGAAAGCGGAAAGCTGAAGTTGCAGAGCTTCCAGGAGCACAAGCGGTAAGCCCTGACATTCCTCGAAAGCGTCTCGTGCTCTGCATGAGAGCCTCAGGAAAACGTCGCCAAGGATCCAGGCGGTCGCTTCCTGCAACGATTGGGAGTTTCCGAACAGAAGGGACCTCACGCCGCATGCCCAGAAGGGACCTCACAGAAACCCCAACTAGCATCCCCGTTGCCGAATCCCCGAGCGCAGAATGCCCAGTTGGGACTCAGGTTCAGCTTGGTGGGCGGATTTTGGCTGAAGTCACTCCCACTCGAAGGCTTGCAGGGTTGAGGGTTCAGGGCTTGCAGGTGCAAAGATCCTGGCCAAAGGCCAGAAAGAAGGGCAGTGGATGCCATCAGCGCCGATTGGAAACCTTTGACTGGCAACAACCCTTGTCCCCAACGAGCTCCTCATTGCCCACACCCAGTCCAGTCTGACATGCCTTCGGCTCTGCAATTGAGCTTTCAAATCTTAGCTCGGCTTCTCGCAGCGACATGCGACAGGCTTGAGATGGCTTGAGCAATCGGGAATCGGGCTGGAAGGGCTCTTGAACACCTAAGCTTCGCAACGGCATACTCAAGCATGTTGCTTCCCTTTTACCCCTGAGCCAGGCCTTTCGTCCTCCCTGGAAAAAGCCACTATCCTCGCAGGGAGTATCGCCACTTCAGGATCGGGGTCTGGAGGAGTATTCTATGTTTACTTTGCTTTCGTTATGCTATGGTTAGTCTGACTAGTTCTGCGACTACTCGCATCAGCGTCCGTGTTCTCCTTATAACAACGGCAAGTACCAGAGCTGGTCAGCCGCACATGACATACGTCCTTCAAGAGGTCGGAGGTCTGTACTTCTTCGGCGATGCTTGAAGACTTGTAGGATTTCCCAGGCGATGACAGAAAACTTTGCTGGGATCAGGGCTGGAAAGAGACCCTCTCGTGAGACGAATGTCTCGTCGCAGCAGTAGTTAGGGTTCGTCGAAGGGACCCAGAAATTCCGAGTGGAAATGTGAGAGAAGCTCTGCCGTACCAAGACCCACGCCGGGTCGGACATGAAGGTCTCGCCTGGATCAATTCCTGAATCGAGCATGTGTGGTATGCAACTCGCCATCAAGCTATGCATGTGGAAATGGGGAGGGGACAGAGTGAGAGAGAGAGAGAGAGAGAGAGAGAGAGAGAGAGAGAGACCGAGAAAGGGAACAACGAGAGAGTCTCAACGAAGCTTCTTGACATGTCCTGCTCCAGGCAAGAGTACTTGTAGAAATTCAAAGAAGCCGTCACGAGAAAATACTGAATGTATCCACTATGAGGTACCTATGCAATGACTAGCATGATGAGCTTACTCGCCTTGCACCTCAATGTCAATTCCCAGGCCTAAACCCTGAAGCTTGAAACCGTGACCTGGCGATCAGACCCTCGTTTGACCAGGCAAGCGTCGGAAGTGAAGGCCCCCGACATCGATTTGCAGAGGCTTCGTCTGTCATGCAAGAGTTGCTCGATTTGAGATACTGGGCGCAGGGCCTTGGGCTTTCGGCTTGGCAGTTTTCGAAGTAATGGCTCGATCAGGAAGCAGGTAATGCTGAAATGCGGATAACAAAATGCCGAAGGCCTCCATGGAACTGCCACGCACCGGTCACCCGCACTCTCGAACGACCCAGGCCTGATCGATGATGTCGCAGGCGCACAGCCTTGCAGGCGACTTTAGGGATGAGCTGAAAGCTTGGATCGCTTGTTTTAGCTTCGGGATGGAACAGGGCTGGAAGCCTCCCCAACCATGGCGGGTTCCTTCCGGCTCGGAGGTTGCAGACGAGGCCCCAGCAGAGAATTGCGATACATCCCGCAGCTGTCTCTTAGTCCTGAGCACATATGAACATCTATCGAAAGGAGACATGGCATTCCTGGTTAGGGATACTGACCTAGGAAACCCAACCGTGATCGAACATTGGACATGGCGACAATGCGAAAGCATGTAGCAGTATCGGCTGGGAGGATCCTCACCTGTCTTTCAACCCATCTCAAGCTTCCAAACTGAACAAACCTGTCTACGGCATCCATGCCTGACACATGTCCAGGGTTCAGTGCCCTTAGCCCCCCAATCCGATAATATAGGATCGGCAAAGATGCGTTGGCCGAACATTGCGGCAGAGACCACTGCAAAATCATCTTTGGGGATGACCTTAGTCCCAGACACGGTCAACGAAGCATCGTTCGGTGCTGGCTGTTGGACTGACGCTGCAGGACCCTCGCCACATTTCGCTGTGCTCTCTACAATGACGGTGTTCGGAAGAACATCTATCAACCAGCACAGCACCGCACAATAAACGAAGTGCCGCTGTCTAGCATCGCACTCACCTGCCAGGCCAGACAAATGCTTGGATTCAGCCAGTTTCACCAGGAAGTCCAGCACTCCACGGTGCCTCACTGCTTCATTACGGCAAACCTACCGTTTGGCCGTCGCTGGAGCACGCCTCTGTATGAAAATGGTCCATCAGCATCGCATCCAACGCGGAGTTCATGATGAAAGTCACTGCCGCCACCTGTCTCACTTCAAGCTGTGAAGTGTGCATGGCATGAGCTTCAACGGCTCAGATCCATATGTGCACTCTGTATGGCCTGTGCCACCACGAGCTCAAATCCCTATAAAAATCGCCCAAAACCCTGACAGCCTGAAGCAAGCCGTAAACGATGAGGCCGATGAACAAAACAATCCGCCGACCTAACCGAAGGAGTCGGGGGGTTCAGGGCTTAGAGAGCACTTGAAGTTGGAGGCCACAAGCCTGAAGGCCTGGCACCACTCAAGCATACTCTGGTACTCTGGTAGCCTTGTGACGGGAAGCAAAGGGTCTCCTGGTGATCCAAACCTTTCTATCCTTGGAGTTCAAGCATCCTGGCCTAGACCCAAGAAGAGGCGCCTAACGTGCAGGCGTGAATTTTGTGTGCCTGCTGGCGGCAGGTCGTCCACAGGATCAGAGGTTTCTTGCACTGGGCTGCTGGGGCGATGAAAACGACCGAACTGAGCAGATCGACGAATCAGCAGACTATCCCTAGATTCACTTAAGTAGCCGTGACTCTGAGAGTGCCACATGTTGGACCGCAGCGTTGCATGAGAACCTTCAAAAGATGCGAGGGTGCCAGACAGGATCGAAATGTTGCGGGTCATTCGCTTTCTGGACTCCGTTCATAAGGATCGAAAAGAGCAGCAACCTCTTACTCTTAGTGTCATTTTCCATTTTTTCCACAAACACCTACAGCCGCACTAACAGAGCCTCTTATGCTGAGAAGGTTTGCTACATCCAGCTGAGCCCTTCGAATTCGACGTGGGCCTCCGAACAGAGAGGCAGTCGGAAGCGGCGCGGCTTGAAGAAGCGATTCCAGTGCCTTGCAAGCAGCCACAGCCCTGCAGCATCTGCGGATCTGGAGCGATGCTTGCTGTCTGATAGCCGTCCCATGAAAAAAAAACGGCCAGCACAAGGTGCAGAAATCATACGGCGAAGAGCTCGAAACGTTCGCACCAGAGTTGCTTCCGAAAGCTAGCGGCGGCTGTGTGCGGAAACCCCCAGTTTTGGGTTCAAAAGAAAATGCTCGGAATTGTTTGGATCTACAGAAGCCTGCATCGCATCGCCTACTGCCACCTACGCCAGCATTGCGCTGATTATCAGCTTCGGCCGTGATCATGCTTCGAGCACTGCTACCATGATACCGCACTTGTGATCGTGATTAGTCTGTAAGCCGGCACTATGCCGATTTTTCCTGCCGTGTCTACAGCTTCGGCAGACAGCGGCCTGACGTACCGCTCATTGCAGACGATTCCAAGCATGAGCGCGATGAGCATACCCGGCCTCGAGTGTACATCAAATCATTGTTAGACTTGCAATAATTCCAATCATTTCAGTAAATACATCGTTCATGCACGACACAGTAGGAGCAATAACAACAGCAGCAGCACTGAAGTGAGGACCAAGGACAGTGAGACTCCGATAGTACCCGAAGCGAAGAGAAGCTCTAATCGTGACTTTCTATCGCCTCACTGGCAATGCTAGATGGCAAGATGGCTGGAAAGGCCCGCGAGGTCCCGGCAGGCACTTCTGGAGGAGCACAAACTGTGCCTGCCGATACAGCACCGAGAACTTCCATGACTGGCCCTGGCACCAGATCTCTGACCCTGCAAGCCACCGTCTGAAGGACTCTGTACCAGCCTGCGCCATATTCAGGCCTCAGGGTGTCAAGGCGATGTTGGCTGCGGAAGGTCGTCATGATTGACTACACCTGGAAGCTTCTTGACCCCGTTTTCTCCGTTTGTTTCGCACTGGTCTGTGCCTGACAGATGTTCTTGGCCTCAAGCTCAAAATGGCGCAGGTAACGCCGATCTCCACCAGCCACCAGCCTTTCAAACCACACCCACCACATAGGCTCCAGTCGGTCCTATGACCTACGAGCTGACGGAGATACTTTGTACACAAGGCCTCTCTGCGTATAGCCGAAAGGACGCCTGGCGAAGGGTGAAGCAGAGCTACTTGCCTTCGCGTTTCCCCCAGTCTTGGGCTCAGCACCGCACTGCACCGGAAGATGTGCGGCCCGACTTGCTGGAACGCCTGTCTGATGCGTGGCCGCTCCTTGGTGCCCGAAGAGTGGAGGCTTTGCACCAGACTAGGCGGATGGATGCGGCGACACTGCTCAAAACACAAAGAAAAAGCAAGACGTAACCTGGGCAGCTCAACCCATCAACCAGAACCAGAGCCCCTTGCTGATGACCTCCAGGCACGGGCCGAAGATGGCCGTGGATGCCTCCTGCTCCGATAGTCAACTTTGATGGGTTTATGGTGTAGGCAGTGTAGGCTGAAGTGAACGAGATTGCGCTGTGACGATTGAGGATTGGTGACTGGACGTGCAAACCAGGACGCCGATCTTCTCAGTCCGAGTCTACCGCAGTATATTGAAGAGCACGATACCATAGTTCAACGCATACACAACAGTATCCACCCCACATACACCACCACCGGTGCAGCTGTGGCTGCTGCTCCGCCTCGTCGCTCTCTGCATCAACATCATTACCACAAGTAAGTCACTAGTAACTAGTAGCCTCGTATCCTCAGCCGGACAGGAAGAGCCTACCGAATCTCGGAGTCGGAGGCCAAGGCCAAGCGCTTGCAAGAATTGAAATCACAAGCTGCTGGGGTGCTGGGATGCCTGCTCCTTCAACCTCAGAAGCAGAAGCAGTCTGAAACTAACACTTTTCGACACGCGTGGGCAACTGCCGAAGCACAGACATGAGCGCGCAGCTCTGCGTTGTTAATCGCTGCAGAGCCCGGGCGACAGGCTCGAAGGAAAAGCACAGCTCGCCACCGCCGAAGCCAGTCTTCGCCAGGTTCTGCAAGAAGTCCTCACTGATTTTTCAAGGGCGCTGTGACACTGAATGCGTAGCCATCCGTGTTTCCTTCGACACGCCATTAGTAATTCAACTAGAGAAATGATAGCAAGAGTAGTAGCCATGCAGTAACGATAAACGTTGCAAAGTGATCAAACGAGAGTGACACAAAGAGATGGAGAGAGAGAGAGAGAGAGATGGGGAGAGAGAGACATATATATATATACATGTATGTATGTATGTATGTATGCATCTGTATATGTATATATGTGTAAAATCTGTAAGAAGAGAAAGAAAGCTGCACTACAATGCCGAAAACATGCACCTCCTCAAGTCTCAGCCCCACCATGAACCAAACCGACAACTTGCCGCCGAATTCCCACAGAAGGACAAACGCGACTGGCCTGGTGTGCATGAGAGATGCCTGGCAGCCCCAGGCCAAGGATCCCATCGAAGGTGGTCAGCGAGATGTCCTGATTCGTGGACCCCGTGCACAATCTGATTTATGGCATTTGCTGTTCCAACGCATGTGATGCAGACTTAGCAAGTCTTCTGTAGTGGTTCCTGTTGCTGATGTGCTGGGCAGTTTGGACTCAGTGGTATCGTGTACATCTACAACATGTGTACATACATTACATGCTTATGTGCATAAGAAACCCACCCACCTATTCTGCACACATAGGTGCATACGCACATACATACATACATACATACATACATACATACATACATACATACATACACACACACACATATACACACACATACATACAGCTGCAAAGTCTCATAGCTTCATGTACCCACATGCAATCATTGAGCCTTGTAACCGTGTGCATACGAAGACAGGTACATACGTAGAAAAGCAGTAGATTCAAACAGCGAGTGATATGCAAGTCAATGTAAGTATGCAAACTTTGGCGAGGTCTTGCCGTCTGGGCGTAGTCTCTCTCTACCGGCACACTCCGGCAGAAGATCTGCTGCACATGTCTCGACTAAACATAACACTCTAACGGCCAAGAGTGCTTGTCACAGAACCGCAATGTTAGGCACCGCTAAAGGCTTCTGATTCCTGTACCAAACCGCTCCGGCGTCCTTCACTTCCGAAGCCACCAGGAACTCCTGTGCTTGGAAGGAGCCCCGATTTGTGTGGGAGAAGCATGTGTCCAGTGTCAGTCCTACATCTGTTCTCACGTTCCTCCCTGCTAAGTTTATGAGCTCAACACCCAAACCCGATCTGCCTGGCGAAGGCACAAGTTGTCCGGGTCTGCCAGTAAGCAGACTCGGTCCGTGCCTCCGAAATTCGCAATTGGGACAAAGCACCTCTACTGTGCACTCGTTTGTCAGCTAGGCTAATGATACTGTCCGGATACACTCGCCAAAACACCTAAAAGGAGACAATGAAAAACAAACCAAAACAACACATCAGTGCAGGTTTTACTTTTGACTTGGTCCATCGACCCTCTGCCACACACGTTGCCTGAAATCAGCATGGATGGGTCTCAGTCGGCAGAAACTGGTTTCTCAGGCCCCGTCCAGTTGTGCCCTGGACGACACCCTGCCCGTATCTAATCTGGGTCTCCTGGCAGACCAAGGCTGTGAGGCCGATATTCGGGTAGACTTCTTTCGCTCGCGCTACCGCCGGTGCTGCAACATGGGTAGCTTCTTACGGATTCCCTCTCCGTGGCAGAGGCAGCACAGCCAGAGTCGATCTCTGAGGGCGCAACAGAGTTATCGTCGGAAACCCTGGGCTGCCCGATGCATCGGACATGAAAACTGAAACTCGGAAAACCCGCATCCCCGATAAGTACGAGCATGAAAGCATTCAGAGATGTAGCTTCTGCTGGCGGGCTCCGTCCAAGACTTGCTTGAAAAGGCAAAAGCCCCACAAACTGTGGTGCTCTCGAAACTGCGGGGAAGAGAGCAGAGAAGGCAACGTAAGAGTCCGAGCTCAGTGGCGTGCCAGGTTGAGGACTCATCCGGATCAAACACGCTTCTGCTGACCCAGAGGTCCTCCATGGTGGGATGTCTCAAAGCTGCTCTGCAGGTTTACAGTTCCAGTACTTAACTGCAGCTGGTTTGACCACCTCGGCAGCATCTGGGTGGTTGCTTTTCAAGATCATTCTACTGGACACTGCTTGGGACTTGAACCACACCAGCAAGCCCGCTTGGCCCCTTGCCGAAGAGCCAGTGTCCAATCTTAGGCAAGCAGTCAATGCACTTCCGGAAACTTTCGGAGGGAGACTCGCGATTTCCCACGTCCGGTCAATCACACTCGGTCACCGGCATCATCCGAAAGGTCCGTTCGGTTGGGGTGCCGATCCTACGCGTGGGAAGGAAGCTCGTTCTAGTGCACATTACTCAACGGATAGGTTGACCAGACGTAGACAAGCTAAGAGCTAAGCATGCGTGCGAAAGCCAAAGACGAGCGACTGCCTTATGAGGGGTGTTGCAAACGAGCTGGCGTCTGTGTGCCGAGGAGCCAGAGGTTTCCGATGTATTGCACATCGTTGAGGTCCTGTCACTTCAAGACACGCTGATGTCTGCTAATCGGGGCTTCACCAAAGCGCTCTGACCGCGTTGCGGGTCCCGTCCTGAAGGGAGACCCGCTGCAGCTTACTCGGGGCCGCCTCCAGAAGTTTGGAAAAGGAGAACATGCATGGCGGTCCCGAGCATCGGCCTTGATCTTCCGGTGCTGCGGCGAAGGCACCGGCCAAGGAACCCAGGGCATCGAAGGGTTCCATGGAAGGTCGACACTTCCTCCGAGAGAGAGCGAAGATTTTGAGCTCCCGAGCTGTCGGAAGGCGCAACTCTCCGGCTCGGAATGATGAAACGGAAGCAAAACAAAATGATGACGCTTGCGGATGGCAAAAATCGTCAAGAGCATAGAGGGCGGGGTACCAGGCGGCGCCGTAAACTCCTCAGGGGCCACGAATCGACTCCTGCACAGGCACTTGGACCCAACACTAACTCTTCTCGAAGAGATTCATAAAACACAACGGAATATCTACAGGTTTTAAAGTGCATGCAACCTGCATATTACATGATGTCTGTAGCGGGGTATGCGCAAGTCGATGCATGGATGGTGGTTGCAGTAATCAATGCTCCAAGTTGCTGAATCTCAACTTCAGGTTCCGTTCAAGCTACCTCGCAGAGGCAACGAACGGAACTGAGCTCTACACCTCACAGCCAACCATGAACATCTTAGACCACGCCCCAGGCCGTAAATCCTAAAATGCCGTGAACACTGAGCCGGTCCTGGATCGTCTTGTTTGCTCACGCTGAAGGTGAATTCTGAACAAAAGCGCACCACCTGCGCCATGTGCCTGCAAAGTGAAGACACATATGCACCTCGTGTCCAAGCTGCAACACCCTGCATCGTCACAGATCCCGCCACTACGGCACAGTGTGGAGAAGCCTCAGCGTGGATGAGCCACAGCTGTGAAAGCAGCAGCGATGCCGCAAACGCGGCCCGGCATGATGCACCCATGCCGCTGTAGCATTCTTGTGATTAGGGTTTCAGGTCTCGCTGCACAAGATGCACAACATAACGTACCTTCCGAACCATGTCTTGGCAGAGGTTGCGACTCGAGGTCCGACTCTAAAATCCCCAACCTGACACTACCTTCCCAGTCGATCAAACTAGTACTACTAGTACTACTAGTACTACTAGTACTACTAGTACTACTCTCTCTCTCTCTCGTGGCGCGAACGTCCGAAGGCGTCCTAGCGTGGCTTTGTAAAAAGGGCGTGTCTTAGACACGGCTATACGCGACAGCATAACCCAAGCTATATCAGCTTTGTCGTTATCACAAAAACATGCAGACGGGATGAGCACGCTCGCCCGGGCCGATAGCCCCATTCAGCAGCGAGTCGATGTGCTATACAAGGCTTTCCCATAATTAAGGCTAGGACTACTGGGCTGTACAGTCGGAGCCCTGGCACAGTTTGTTGGATTTGTTTCCAACTCACCAGAACACTCCCTCAGTTATTCTACAATGTCACTTGAAGGGCACTCTCACTTGCTGCGAAAAGTGGCAGCTGCATTATTCGAAATTTCACTCCAGAAAGAAGCACACTCCCAACAGCTGCTCGAAGTCAGGCTCAACTCTCAGCAGAGCGAAGACCTTGGCACATCATGATGGGAACCACTGACGTCACCCCTCTGTGATCATCGCTCTTGCATTGCTGTCTTTGCTCTCATCCGCGCGCCGGAGGGTATTAGCAGGAGGCATGCCACTCGCCAACCTGGAACCCCATTGACTGCAAGTCACGCTTGATTTCAGGATCCATCCTATCAATCATTCCTACATGATAAGCAATCAAAATGATGCGAGTACCACGCCACGGTAGAGTAGCGTGCAATCGCCTCGGTGAGAAAGATCAAGCTTCTTGTGCAGAGAGAATATGACCTGGTTTTCCTTGTGGCTGTAGCCTGTGTCTGCCGTCTTCATGTTCCAGAAAAACTTCACCCCCTTGGAATTCCGAGGCCGGTAGCATGAGATTATGAGATCTGATGTCGTTGTAGCTGTCTCTATGAGGGCTTGCCATGACATTGCAAGAAACGGTGACGGAAGTGAACGACAGCTCACTATCCCATGTCCGGATGATGCCTGCTAGCGCTCTGGTTGTCCACGGATAGAGCCTGGCATGAATCGTGGGACCACGAACATACGCCCCAGTAGTGAACCGCTTCGGCGCAGGTTGCGCTTCATTCAGTTCCTCTTGCTTCCAGCGAAGTGATCGATCACACGGAAGAAGCCCTAGTAGGCGCTCAATCTGAGCCCATCTGGCCTGCCCACAACAGATCAACCCAAAAGCCAGCGCCTCAGCCTCATTCGCAGAAGGAACCGGAAGGTCCGACAGCTGCACTCCCCGGATGAGATAAATGTGTTGCACGAAGAATTCCCTGCGAAGATCTTCTTCAAAAGCACTGAGGGAGCCCGCTCCTACCATGTAAATGTTGTGATGAACCATCGGATCACGAATCACGTCAACCTCCTGCTCTGGGCTGGGTGCCTCGGGGCTCTCGCTCACATCCATAGGATCCTGGTTCCGGCTACCATGAGGGCTCTCGAAGCGCGACGCTGACATGAAAAAGCACGCGCCCTATCAACTCCAAGGTGGATCCTGCCAAAGCCCGCGCTGAGAGACAGGCGTCACGCAGCTTCTGTCATGGCTGCAACATCCACTCAGAGCGAAAAACCATCGTGCCAGATAAGGTGGTGACAACCAGGGAGCAGGAGCGTATCCCAGTCTGACCTGAGTGAGCACAGCTGATATGGCAACGTTGCGCAGATCCGAAGGACATACCAGCATAGGATTTTTCCATTCGGAGATGCTTCGAGGTCCACGGCTGCGTAAAGCGACGCGTCAGGTTGCCAGGAACTTCTGCCCGAGCTAGCAACCATGTGCCGTCGCATGATGACCGTCCCGATAGGACCAAGCGCCATCATATGTAACTTGAAACTCATGGCATTTCCTCTGCCGCGTCAAAACTCGCCTGATCTAGCAACCAATCGCTTGGCCTGGACACGGCGGGGCCGCCAAAATTAACACCCACAAGCTTGAGCCTCCAGTCTTTCATCCATTGATGTGTTTCTGGATGAGCTCCGCCAGGGCCGAGCGCCCAGGTCGCTCCTGCCTGACACTCATGCCCAAAAGCTGCGTGGCACTCAGCCCACTGAGAGTTTGCAGGTGCTTTCGGATCTGAAGGGCCGCATCCCCATGAATCGACGTTTGCAGCGACATGGTCAAATTCTTTCCCCCCATCTGCTTGGTGATCTCTCTGCTGGGGTGAAATCTCGTGACCACGTCCGCCGTCGCAAGAACCTGGATGGCTCCCACCACGGCTGCCACCTGAGAGTGCGGCACGGCCTCGCGCTCCTGATCCGCCCTGAGCCGCTCATTCTCAGGGTCCCAGCGCACATATTTCCAGGCCAATGGCTCCTTCTGGAGCCATCCAAGATTGACAAGAACCTCCATCTGCTCCGCCTGCTGAGGCATAGCATCCAAGCGGGCACTGAACTCCTTGAACATGGCTTTAACCAGGTCGATGCGCATCGGGGC